CCCCCTCCCCTGGTGGGAAAAGGGCGGGGACGAGGCTCGTCCCTTTCCCTCCCTCCCTCCCTCCCTCCCCTTCTCCGCCTCCTCACGGCGGACAAAAGGGGGGCTGCTCGCCGCAGACGGGCCGCCCTCCCTCCTTCCTTCCCTCCCTCCGCTTGAGGGGAAGAGGAGGGAAGGCGCCACCCTGCCATCCACCAACCCACGAACCCATCAATCCATCAATCAACCGAACAGAAGCATTTCATTGGGTTTCCTGCCGCCGGGATTCTTTCGAGGATTGCCGGAGTTTTCCCCTCAGCGTGAGGGGGCTCCGTTGTCACAATAAATAAATAAATAAATAAATAAATAAATAAATAAATAAATAAATGGCATTATATTTGTTTACTTAGTTCGTGTTGTCGTCCTCGTGATTCTTGTTCAGATCGGCTGGCTTTGGGTTTTTTTTCTTTCTTTCATGGCTCTGAAGGACGAACCGTCAGTGGGAATTGAATACACTACAAAACGAAGGTTATTACGCCCTCTTGCCCCTCATTATTACTGCGGGGCAACTAATTAATGGCGTATCTTGTGTGGGGTTTTTTTTAAACCCTTTTTTTAATGCCAGGTTCTGCTGGAACCGCCCCCACGTGGGAAATAAAATGCAACTTAAAGCTTCTGGCTTTCTAACTGTTCGGCTTTGTCCCTTGTCATTACAGCCACCACAAAAAAAGAGAAAGAAAATGCAAAGAGAAGAAAAAAAGAAACTGAAAAAGAGAAAGAAAATGCGAAGAGAAGAAAGAAAAAAGACAATAAAAAAGAAATGCAAAGAGACACCACTTTTTTATTTTTGCTTGCGACACAGACACTAACAAATGAAGTAAAAGGGAGTGGGAGTACAAATTTAAATTAAAATACGACCTGCCCATGAATTAAAAAAAAAAAAACTAAAAGGAAAAGCCTGGCGCCATAAATACCTAGTGGACCTTAAAGAACAGCCCATTTTTCATCAGCTTTTGCAGACTTTAGCCCATTTCTTCACATTTATTTAATTTTTTTTTTACATGAGGTCCTTCCTCAAACTGTTGTGTGAAACAAAATGTGTTGATATTTTAAGGTGTCACAAAATACCATGACATATTTTGCTACCCATCCTCCAGACAGGATCATTGTTTTCATTATCAACCTTGTTAACATCTCAGCCTGACCTACATTGCAGGGGTGTTGTGAGCAAAAGCTGTAGGGGCGCCAATTACGTCCGCTTGAGTTTACTATATGTATATATGTCATAAATGCCACAAATAATTGTTTGTCAATGTCAGTTAAAACAAAAGCATGCCTTGCCACAGAGGTGGCATCCTGTGGCCCTCCACATCTGGTTGGACTCCAGCTCCCATTATCCTGACTGCCAGAAATCCGAAGCCAGCAACTCTGGAAGCTGCAACAATAAAAAAGCTATTTATTAATTTAGGTATATTGGAGTGTTGTTTTTTTAACTATGTTCATGGATAATACATGTTTTACAAACACTCTACATCACATCTCAAGCATATACACACTTTTTTTTTGGTACACCTTTTTGATAATTGAAAGCATTTGAAAACTAACAAACACATCTTTTTCTGCTCCCTTTCAGCTTCTTTCATTTACAGTATTTTATTGCCGCTCAAGCGGGGGGGATAAAATATATGCACTTTCCAATGCTTTGTAAATAAATTATTTTTCCTTTTTGCTTTTTTTCCTTATAAATTCCTAGCTGTTCCCTTTCTTCAGTTTAGTCACTGCTGTGAACTGTTTTTTTCCCCACACAGTTTCTATTTTTGTACTCACATTCATACTGTATATTTCTTTGCTCCTTCAATTTCATTTCTAACTGCTCACAATTGCCATTTTCCACATTTGGACATATTGTCAATAATTTTCCCTTCACTGCCCATGTTTTGCTTCCTTCTGTGTCTTCTTTCCTTACATTTAGATGCACAATGTTTTCATCCTTATTCTTCTTATAATTTCCTTCACAATGGTCTCTAATTTTTACTCGCTTTTTTGGTCTTTTCACAGGGACTGTTCCTTCTCTGGATTAATGGAGCCGGAAAGACCGAGTAGACTCTTTTTTTAATAGTCAAGGAGTGACAAGAATGCCTCCTTGTTAGGAAAATTACAGGCTAGGACAACAGGAGATGCTTGGAGCAGAAGACTCGTCCTTTTTCCTTCTGCCTATCATTCTCCAGATCCTCTTAGGAAGGACACAGAAGGCAAACAAAATAATTAAGGTGTAGAGCAGACCGTGGCTGCAACTGGGGCCAAGCAAACCAGGGCTTTGACTCAAAGCTCCAGTATTTAGAGACTATGGAAATTTGCTTCTGGAAGGTTGTGCACCCACCATTTGGATTTACTGCTGGAAAGATGAACATTACAAGTCATTCCGAGATATTTGTAGCAGAAAGAAAAAAATGTTTCTTTACTTACAGTTACCTGAAGTTACAGATTTGCATACGTTGCTTTCTTTTTACTGCACTCATACAACACTTAGCAATCAACTGAACAGATCAACAGCAAACAACCAACTACAATCCTATTACACAGAGGGGAGAAAGAACACTCAGCAGAGAGGCAGGACTCTCTTTGAATTCAAAGGCTGGAAAGAATAGAGTAGATAATCAGTCCAGCCCAGAGACGTTCCCCCCCAAGTTGCACAAACTGCCGGAAGCAGATGAGGCTGTAAATAAAACTCCCAACAGAATCAAGATGGCTTCTGCATCCTCTTTTCTGTCCATTCCTCCATGAATCTCATGTGACTCAAGCTTAAGTAACTAGGCAGTTAAGCCTCAGCCACCCCAAGCTGCCCATTGCAGCTCTCCGCTGGAGTAACATCTCTCAGCAGCAGCATTACAATCTTTCGGGTTGTATGGCAGAATCTATCCATATCAAAAAGTTCCATTTTCCACCCTCTTGTCTTCCACCCGTTCCTGTGCCTTTTAACAGCGGGCTGGCCTCTGAAACCGATGCAGCTGGACTGCTTTTTAGCCCTTCTCCCCATGACAAGAGGCTTCAGCTGCTACACGGGTGCCCTTAAAGGATCAGCAACCAACGCAATAACAAAGGTGCCGGCTGCAGAGCGGTTTGTAAACACCTACATCCAGGAGGGCAGAGTTTCAATCCTGGAGAAATGAAGATGATGAAGCTATAGCCGGGCCCGATTCTGCTGAGTTTTTGTCATCAGCATGCACTGTGCACACTGTTTACACAGATCCATATATATTTCCCATTCAAAATCGAAAGAAACAAAACAAAAAAAATGCCAAAACATGTGGTCTCTTAAAGAGCAATATGATTGAAATATCTATCTATCTTGTGGTCCCTAGCAATATGATTGAAATATCTATCTATCGCTGTAAGGATACAGATGTTTTGAGTGCTGGGGGAAATTTTAAAAACAGAACCACATAAAGCTTGGCTTTTGAAACAGCAGCCCCACCAGTGTTCAGAAATCTGCAATTAAATGGGAGCCAGTGAAAATGCAGCGCCTGATGAAAAGGCTCATCAGCTAACAACCCTGGAGAGCCATTCTCCCCACATTGAGTGAATCAGAAGTTGGTGGAGGTGATCAGAGTAATTGATCAGAGCTCATTGGCTGAGAGAGGGAGTCTTGCTCTCTCCCAGTGTGTTTCCACTGCCCTAAAGAGGAAAGCTATAAGAAGGATGCTCAAAGGCTCTTCCGGATGGCCTCTGTTTGTGTGGTGGCAAAATGGACCATCTGCAGGTATCGGAGTTTCTTCCAGACGCATCCATGTGTTCCCTCTGCGTTGAGCTGTTTAATGAGCCGGTGACTTTAACCTGTGGCCACAATTATTGCAATGCTTGCATTGTACGATACTGGCGTGGATCTCTAAGAAACGTCTTTTGCCCGCAGTGCAAGCAGATCTTCGCAGAAGTAACCCTTAGGCCCAACAGGCAGTTGGGGAATATCGCGTGGATCATTAAGCAGATCCAGCAACAAGGTGGGGTGCCCGCAAGCCGCCGGAACCGGTGTGAGGTTCACCAGGAGCCCACCAAGCTTTTCTGCAAAGATGACTACGTTCCCTTATGCTCCAAATGTGAGAAGTCTAGAGTGCACTGCAACCACATTGTCGCTTCGGTAGAAGATGCTGCTGAAGAATACAAGGTATGGAGGTCTTGCTCCCAGCTTTGGGTTGAATGTTTTCCGGTCTCTCCTCGCGGGAGACAGATTAGAA